CCCTGAAACCTGCAGAGGAGGCAGTCCCAGTGTATAAAAACGATAAAAGCTCTGTTGAATAGAGAATCATCTCAAAATGTAAGTGCTGCTCTGGCACATGCCTTGGGCTTGGTAAAACCTTGAGTTCAGACATTTGAGGCATCTTGATGGAAATCCTTGTGGATGGAAATCCTGGCCAAGCCACCCACCACCCACCTGTGTGGGGTTTGTATGATGGCTAGGGGATTTGCATCCAGGTTTTGATAGTGGTTTGCTTGGGGGATGAAGTATCATGCAGGTAAATACAGTGGAAGTATTTTTCTTTTACTGTAGGGAGGCTGCAGAGGACAGAGGAACCTGGTCCTGCCTCCAAACTCTCCAGAGGCAGGAGAGTGTCTCTTTGGCACTGCAGAGGCACTGAAGTGTTACTGTTGTTTTAGAGAAATAATGGCTACAAACCCTGTTGGTCAATTGGCAGCAATGTGAAAGCAAACCTTAGGTTTTAACAAAACCCCAAGTTTGTCAAATCTGAGATGGAAGTGCAGATGTGCCTAAATTCCCCATAGCTCCCTCACTCTGAAAGGTATGAGTTGTGTTGCCTTCAGCCTGCTGGAAAAGCAAGGGGAAAAGGCCTCCCTGAGCAAAATTCTTTCCCTGAAATATGTTTATCCTTGCTCTCAGCTGATGATCACAGTATCTCCCTCTCTGACACCGCCATCACCATGACGTGCATGTACAGATGCTGCTGCTGAGACGTGTGTGGGGTTGACTTCAAAGCAGTGACTGAAATAAGTGCCTGTGTAACCAAAGAGGGGAGTGAACCTGAGTCAGCCTTGGCATGGCTTCTCCTCACCAGCCTGGCCTGGGTGCCCACACAAGGTTTTTATTCTCAGACCTTCCTCATGTGACAGACCTCCTCTAGCTGACTTGTTTTTTAACCTCCTTTGACATTTAGGGCTGGTCTAGGGCTGGGATTTAATTCAAATTGTTCGAAGATGTGAATTTAGAGAGGAATAATTATTCTTGATTAGCTCCCCATGTGGACAGTCTTCTTCCAAAATAAAAGTGCTTTCTTTCAAATGGATTTAATTGACTCCAAGAAAATCAGTAGGTTGCTTTCTCTAAGAAAAAAGGGGTAGATACAAAATGAACAATACCTTTTTCCTCTTCAATTTGTTGAAAAATGCAAGGACTTTTGAATGTTATGCAAGTTTTAAGTGAAAATTGCTGTATGTTATTATGTATAATTTGCACCTCTGATAAACTGCACGCTGTTAAAATTATTGTTCCATGAAAATAATTACACAGCAGCCAACATAATTAGACAAGCAGTGCAAAATCAGAGGCAGAAAGGTAGGATGAGACTGTGACTGGGAGGGCTGTTTATAGGGAGGTTGCTCTGAGGTGTATTTTATTCTGCCCACACACTCACATACATTCTGATTTTCTGAAACCAAAACTGATTACAGAATGTAACAAGCCTCAGAAAAAGCTTGATTAAAAAAAATAAAAGCTTCTCAGATTTAGGATGAAGTTTCTGTTCTAAAAACAGCAAGAAAAAAAAAGAGGGATCCCAGAACCATCAATACTCTGCTGGGGGAAATCAGAGATTGGGGTGCCGAAAAATGTCCAGCAACCCAAGTGGTGGAGGCTCTGATGCTGCTGACACCTGTGGTACCCAGAAGGGAGAGGCAGGGCTCTGACTGCCAAGTGTCACAGATGGGCTCAGTCACTGACCTTTTATCATCCATATCACTGAACTGATCTCATCCCAAATATCACTATTTAAGAGCATTTTATAGGGACAGGGCAGGATGCAGTGAGCAATATAGGGTGAAGAATATTTAGTGTGAATCCGGACACAGCTCATATCATACCTTTGACAACAGGCAGGGAACTGGTCCTTACCTTTTTGGTTACTAGAACAGACCTACCCTTGTAACCTGCTCTTCCTAAATATGTGCCCTGTTGAGGTGACAGTCCAGCCTTTCACAGGAATGTCCTCCTGGAACTAAAAAATCTTGTCCTTGTGAAATTGCCATCAGAGCTGGTTTATGTGATTCTTCCACAAAGTTGTCATCATCAATAAACCAGTGTTTTCTAAAACAAGAGGGGGAAAAAAAAAAAAAAGCACTACCTAAAATATTCAAAACTCTTGTGTGAATCAGTAGATGGGAAACCTTATTCTGGGGTTTTCTTAGCTTTCTTTTTTTTTTTTTTTTTTTTCACCCAGTAGCAGTTTGCAGTGAAGTAGTGAGAGCCAGCAGCCTCTGGATCCCAGCTCTGATTTTGGGAACACACAGGAGCGTGGTGGGATGGTGATAATACAGAGGTCTATAGCACAGCTCGAGTGCAGAAAAATATGCAGAGCTCTGCAGAAACAGAGACTAGAACTGAAACTTCAGCAATCATAGCAAGAGAAGGAGAAATCTTAAAGCTTCCAAAGAAGGTTTTTTCTTTGCTTTTCTGGCATTGCTGTCAGTATTGGGTTTCCCTGGCCCTTGTTTGCCAAGATGGAAGAGCAGCCAATAGACAGGAAACAATTATGCCACCTTTTTCAACTGAGAAAAGAAATCCTACATCCACATTTATCTATTTTCTATGTTCACTTCAAGGTACATTATGCACCCTTATTGACTCATACCATCTTTCCTGTCTTCTTGAAGACCAATATCCTAATAAAATGAATCCTTGTCATTGCCCAGCCCATCAGGCCAAAACAGATCATGGTCAGTTATGCCTCACTGCACATCTCACCATCCTGGTCACCACGTCCAGAGCCAGCAGGAGCAATTGCACCACTTCTCAGCTTGTGGTGGGAGAGAAGGCACAGACTTTACTGTGGGATGGAAACCGGATGTGGCAAATGCAAACATCTGAACTCAAGAGCTCAGGAAGGGTCTCTAGTGCTACACTTTAGATATGGCACTAGTAATTTTGGGGACTTTCAGTAGAGCTTGGGCTTTCTGGGGCCTGAGCCATTCTGAAAATAGGACTTGAGGATGCTTTTGTACATTTTAGTCAAGGTGAATTTATACTGAAGTCTAAATCCACAGTTAATTACAATGAAGTATAAATGGTTCTGAAGGATTAGGGATGAGCTTTTGAAGGAGGCCTCTGAATTTTAAGTAATCAATTCTCATTGAGAGTCACTGGGTTTGGGCATCTAACTCCCTTGTTCACTTTTGAAGATCCAAACAGAGATCTAAAACTCATTCTGTTAACAAGTCAACCAATATTTCTTTCCTGGGAAAGCAATCTTCCAATATCCTAAAATTAAGACAACAGAGGGCTACATTTTTAGTTTTATTCTCCCAGGCTAATACTGAAACAATATAGAAATTGTGAAAAATAAACCACAGCAATTTAGATATTTAGTTTTCAAATCAGTTGACAGGCATAGCAAGGAAATGTTTTTACCTCTGAAGAAATAAATGTAATAAAATACTGTTTAAATAATGTTTAAGAGATGTGATGAAAGACGGGTTCACGAACCCTCTGTTATGTTAACAATTAACAGCGCAGGACATGGATTTTGTTTAAGAAATGTGTACTGCTAATACTGGGGTCAACATATGAATAAACAAGAATGGCAGCATGTACTAGAGCCGGGCTGTATTAATGTATGCCTGGTTGGTTGTCTGTGTTGCTTTATTTATCGTACCAGGATCTGCTGCAGTCAGGTCCTGCGTGTCCCTCTGTCCACAGGCAGGTATGGGCAGTCATTCATACTCTTGCCCACATCAAGACATTATAGGGTTTGGAATAGGTGATCTTTAAGGTTCCTTCAACCCCAAACCATTCTATAGTTTGTGTGCTGAAATGATTTTCTTGCTCCAAAGTGAGGAAGGGACACATATCAACCCAGTCTGTGCTGGCACACACTGCTGGAGGCAGCAAAGTCCATGGGCTGGGGCACTGACCTGGGACCACCCCAGGAGTTTGTTCTGCTATAGACTAACCATGCAGTGCCAGCCAAGCCTCTGTGCTCTCCTCTCCCTTTCTCTCAGTTGTTAGTCTTACTTAACATAAGCTTGTCTCTTGCTGATGGCCACAATTGTACCCCGAGCCTGGAGCTCTCACTGACAGTAAACTTCTTGGAGCTGGACTTCAGAAGACTCAGACATCTTGGACAACTTCCAATTCACCTCACCCCCAGATGCAGCCTGTTTCCAAACTAATCCTTGGACAGCTTGCTCCTCAGTCCTTCTCAGTGATAGCTTGGGAATAGACATGTAAAGCCAGGCCTAAGAAGCATCATCACAAGAAGGCCACTGCCATTTACAAAGAAGCAGCTTTCACCTTTACTATTCTTTAAATACTCTCTTAAGCCTTTTAATTTACAGACAGTGATGATGGAAAAGTCTGTTATCTGAGTCAACAACAATTCCCTGAAATATTTGCTAAATGATCCAGGTCACCAGACGTTTCCAGGGGTTTTTCTTTTTACATGGATCTGGCATGATCTCTATTTTTCATGCTGCAAAACACATAGAGTAAGCCAAGCTCTGCTCCTGGATGCTGGCAATGTGATGGCTTGCTCCAGCAAAATGTTGGCCACCCTCAGTTCCCACCACAGGCAATGGAATTTGAGGGTATTCAGCACCCATAGGAAACCCATGGACATCAATGTACACTACCTGGACCTCCAGTGCAATGCCTGATTAGATAACAGTCTGTCTCTAGTTAGAGTGTATATTCTCTCTCTTTCATTCTTCCTTTTTCTTTCTCTGTGTTAATAATGTGTGTAGCTCTGATTTATTTTTATCAAGATTAACAATGGAACAATACTGCTTCAAATATTAAAAAGGCAAAGAAATGTAGGTACTGAAAAGGAAGGAAAATACCTCAATTTCAAGCCTAAAGATTACTTTGGGTCCCAGAGGAAGCAGAAGCAATTTAGTGGCTGATACCCTTAGCAAGAAAAAAGGTTGTAAGATTAAGACCAACTGCTGTTTGGATAAGTGGTTGGTAATTGCACATATCAGCAATTATGTGCTGTCATATCATTTTTCTGCTACCTTACTCCTCTCTTGTGTCCCGTCAGGGTTTACTTGGAATGACCCTACATCTATGGTCCTCTTTGGATTCACCTTCTTAATGTCATACAACAGTGCCTCACAAGTTCAAAGAAAAAAGAAGTCATTATTACAGGAGGTGCCTGGTGGAGGTGCTCCTCTTCACAGATGTAGCTAGAGGCTACTGCTGTAATAACCAAGCTTCCAGGGAGAGAAATAAAGAAAGGCCTCCTGAACCTGCAAAAACCCTCTTTGTCCTCCAGCCTCGCAAGGGGAGAAGGGTGTGTGTTTGGCGGGGGGAGAGTTTTAGTGGGGAGAGGTTTGAGTGGGGTGGGAGAGGGTTGTCTCTGTGCTCGGTTCAGATGCCATCCTGCTTCACGTGGTGAAGTACCTGGCTCCAGGTCACACTGTGGGGACTCAACAGGAGCTGAGTATGCTGGGTCTTGCCTGGTCAGGGCAGTACAGGTTATATTAAATCCTCTTCAGATGAAAAGGGGGAGCTTCAGTTCCCTACATGTAGGCTACTTATGACTCCTGTCCCATCTGAGGACATTTTAGGGGAGTAACAGTGGCCTGCCCTTGAGCTGAGCAGTGGGGCCCACTTCTGTAGCTTGTCAGAGCCTTTGCATCACTCAGAAAGGCAAACGCCACCAGAAACACCTTTTTCCTCACAGAAGTAACTGATTCCTCAGTGAAGTGTCAAAAGATAACAAAGTCTGTTCCAGCTAAACTCATCTGTTCATTGCCTGAGGGAAGCCTCCAGCTTATATGGCACTGGGTGCTCCCATGGAGCAGAAAATATTTAGCTCACTAATCAGATCCAGGCAGGAGGTGTAACTGAGGCTGCCTGCAGTGTGCCTGTGTTACATCTAGAGAGGACAGGCACAGCTGGCCTTCAGGTGTCCCAGGACTGTCCTGGAGTGATGCCTCCGAGGTCAGTGACTTTACAGGGATGTAAAGGAGAGCAGGGTTTGACACGGGGATCCCACCACAGGAGCTGTCCTGTCTCTGCGAAGGCCACCGAGCTGAGAAGCCCTGGGAAGGACCAGCAAACCTCTGTGTCAGGCTCTGGGAGATGCCAAACTGCAGTCAAATGCAGGAGTCTTAGCAGTGACAGCAAGGTGCAACCTCACAGCTCATGGAAGAGCTAATACCCTTTGAAAAGCAGATAAAAGATTCATCAGCACAGATGAAGATATGAGGGCCTGGGCTTAGACAGCCTGTAGTTCCTGCCAAGAAATTGTGTGGAAGGTAGAAATGAATTTAAAAGGTTGAGTGGGGGCCAGCAAGTCAATAACTGAATAATCCCACCCAGATAGGAAACCAAAGCATAAACAAGAGTCTCCACGTACTGACAAGTTAGTGCTGGTTGCACTCTGGAAAGGATCCTAAAATAACAGAGATTCCTGGAGACAGAATAAACACATCTCTCAGTTGTCATCCTGAGCAGAGGGTAATTGCCTAGATGTCTGATTGACTCACTGCTAGAACTAAATATGTACTTCTCTGACATGCTGTCACCTCCTTCGCTGTACGTCTGAGATTTTTCAGTAAAGCACATCAGGAATCAAAGCAAATGTCCACAAGGAAAGATGCATCTCGACCTTGAACTTTAATCGCAGGCAAAGGGCTGAAAATGTATTTAAAAAGAAGTAAAGTTTCTGCATTCCTGAGAGTGACATTTAATCTCAAAGTTCCCTGGGGGCTTGTGCACGTATGACCCAGCCCCCCAGCAGAGGAACATGGAACTGCAGCCCCTGTCTGAGGGCTGGGAGTTGGCACATGGCTTCCTGAGCTCCCCAGTCACACCATGACGTGGTCCTCAGCTTCCCATCTGATCCCCATTCCTTTCCAGCAGTTTCCTGCAAGGTTTCCTTCAAGGTCTCACCCCAGTTTGCACTGCTGGAAGATACAGAGTAGAGTTCCTAAGTTAATCTTCCTTCTAGTTTTAGCAGCTCTTTTACCCCAAACCTGAGTATTTAATGCCTTCTCAAAGCTCTTGGTTAGCGATTCCCATCAAGTGCTGAGCAGTCCTGTTTACCCTGCTCATGCTTTGCTCCCCTCCTCAGAGCTAGTTCCAGTTTCAGCTATATTAAACTTTTATTTACAGAATTGTTAGAGAATCTACTCAGAAGCCTTAACCCTGGAACATTATTATGAATTTTCAATAAGTCTTGGAAGTTGCAGGGGGATGGACAACTCTCAGCATAACACTGATTATCAAAAGTAAAGTGATCTGCCAAATCCTAGGCTGGCCCAGCTCCTGGGAAGGATGATGTGCTGGTTTAGAGTTCAATTCACAGTAGATATAGAAAATACTATACTAAATGCAGTACAGTGTGAATTCATGAAGGTAACTGTTTGTTAACTTGATTTTATACTCTGGCAGGTAAAAGACCTGTATTCGAGAATTCGAATTCCACACCCTAGAGTGAGCTGAATTCCAGGCCAGAGTGAGATTGTGAGGCTGGTTTACACACTTGTCCCCTCCCCTTGCCTCCAGCCTGTGTAGGAAAAAAGCATTTTCTAACAGAAACTCCAATGGAGCTATCACTTTGTGAACACTGCAAATATATATGTATGAAGCAACTTGTCTAATATATGTTCAAGATAAAAGTTTGAGATGTCAGAGAATTTTATCTGAAAAAAACAGGCATTCAGGCACAAGAGGATAACTCCAAACTGATCTACCCATCTATTCAACTCTGAGCTTTAGGTAGATAGAGAAATCAAGCAAAAGCAGGCAGACACATGTAAAATGATTTCTGCAGGCAGAACAGGACATCCTCACAAGTACTGCTAAACTGAGTTTTGGAGGGAAAAGTGGCAATCACCCAGCCTGTGACTCCTGCCCTCACACACACGGCCCCAGGAGTGAAGGGATGCACTCAGCTGAGACAGGTAGATGTTCCCCAGAGGACTGGGGTGGCACATCTTCACTGCAGCCAGCCCCTTTTTTACCCAGGATGACCTACTCATCTTTCTCTTAATTTAGGAATAGTGTTACAACAACCCGGGGAAAATGGGGTTAGGAAGGTGAGCAGAGCAGACCTGAGTAGTCCAGCCCAAGACAAGGTGCTCTGTCGGTGCTCCCTTGGTCTGATTTCATGACTGGAAATAAGCCCAGAGATTTAAAACCGGTATAAACGAGTCCTAGCTTGGGCTTACCTTATATCAACTTCCTTTTCTCTCCAAAATGGCATTTGTCATCAAGAACCATCTCTCACAGAGACTGCAAAGCCAGAAGGCTCTCTCCATTCATTTACTTATTAAAACTCAACAGATGATGAAGGAGCAATTACTGGACACAGGAACAGTAGTTCTCTTAGCTATATTTATTAATTTTCTTTTTTTTCAATGATGTCTGTGTTCAACAGAGAGCTGATTGTTTGTATACAGCACACCAAGTGATTGAACACTGCCAAAATGAATGAGGAAATGCGACACAAAGGAGATGTGTGGCACTTCACAAGCAGGGAGCCCCATCCTTTCAGCTGGGCTGTGTCTGCCACTCTGTCAAAGGAGAGGTTCGTGCACAGAGCCAAGTGCTGAGCAACACCTTGAGGTAGTGCTCAAATGGAGGATGCTGCTGCTCTGCCCTTGGGCAAAGACAAGTTCAGCTCTGTCCCATCAGCAAAGTTGGCTATTCCAGCTTTATCTTCACGGTTGCTAATGGGATGGGTGCTCTCTTTCACCCTTTCAGTTCTAGACAAACTGCACAGATGATGGATCCTGAAGATGGTATTTTTAACTTTCATTTTCCCCTTCCAGTGCATTTGGATTTATTTTTTTTCTCTCTCACTTTGTTTCACATTAACTTCATTCAACTACAGGGAGTATCAGAAAGTATTACCTTAGCTTGAGAATAGATTTGCTCTCAAGTGACACCTTGCAATACTACTGATTTATACCCTTTTCCTGCATTGATCTGTTGGGAGATTTCATCATCTATATCTGACATAAACACTGTATTATTCTGTATTGCATTATACCCTAGAAATCCAGTCAAATCCCTTTGCTCCTCAAATTAAAGCAATATGCATTACAGTGTCCTGATTTCCTTCTATTCTTGCATTTGCATTTTTGTATCATGCTCTAGATTACTCATGTATATTTTGGCATAAGCATCTCCCTGTTCATTTAAGAATATTGCCTTTAATCTTCGTTGTACCTTGAAGCATACAAAACTCTGGCCCCAAAGGACACATGGAGACATTTAGTTCCCACAGTGGCTGAGTTTCTGTGGAAGTTATTTAAAGCAAATGTCGTGTTGTTCAGAAGCCCAAGCCTTGTTCCAGGGCAACCCCATGGACACCCACAGAGTGCCCCTGGTCTCGCTGCTCCACGCAGCCTGTGAGCTTCGTCTGCCGCACTGCAGATCCCCATGTTTTTGGGAAGGGACTTCTCTTCTCCTCCTCCCACTGTGGTGCAGACTGCAGTCCTGCAGCCTAAAGGTTTTAGTTGTATGGCTGTGCTGGGATGCCTCAACTCCTCAGCAGTTTAACCATGGAGTTCATTTGCCTGCAAGCAGCTTTTTGTTGACAGATACAGAGTTGCAGCTGCAGGTTGTACCTTTGCTGCAAGAGATCAGGTAGGTTCATTGCACTGTTTTATCCACCTTAAGCATCCTCCGACCATCAGAATGGTCTTTTAATGTACTTCTTACCAAATATAATTCTATAAGAGAACATCTAACAGTATATCACATAGTTTGTAGCTTGGGTGGGGCTAGGATTTTTTGTGGGTCTGCATTACTTCCCGTATTTGTTCTGTGCCAGTACTACATGTAGGTCAAATATTTGCCCCAGTCAGATACTAATGGTTACACTGGAAATGTATTCAGCCAGACAGAGCCTTGAGTTCAGTAAAACTACATGACAAATATGAACAGTCAGGATATTCCTTGAAAGTGGAGCTTCTGACTTTTCTGAGGTAGTATACAAATATGTTGGTTCAGAGTTGCTGTTTGATAACCAATCTAGATAACCTGGCATACTCTTTTACACAGACTTTCCCAGACTATTAACCTCCCCCAGAATGTGTTCTGAATTCAAGCTGTCTGTAATTTAGGAACAAGTAATTCTTTCCATAGGGAGGGA